TATTATATTAAAAATAATATATTAATGAGATAAATATATATAGATATACGAAATTGATTGAAATAATACCTGAATATTACAAAAGAGAAAAGATAATTCAATGCGTGAAATGCAAGGTAAGATGTAAAGTAGAAAGCGGACAAGTTTCACTAAGTTTTATTATAAGAAGAAAAGGGATGCACGGAATATAAAATGATGAAAAATACAGAACAATCTACAAAGTAATGGATTACTAAATGAAATAAATGAGAATTATAATTAAGAATATATAGAATAATTGGAATATAAAGATTAAATTCAATTCCAAAATTGCGATGTCAAAATCATGAAAATTCAAAACAAAAAGATTCACGTCAAAGTGTATGTAAAATTTAATAAGAAAAACTTAATAAAATTAGCAGCTTACTAAAATTTAAAAGATATTATATTAGCGATATAAATCAAAAGAGAGCTTTTGAAATTAAATGATCAAACGACAAAGTTGGATATGTTTCTACTTAGAAAAAAAGATTTGGACGAAGAAGTAAATCAAAGAAATATGACTTGCCTTGGTCCGCTCCAAATGGGTTTCTAATTCACAAAAGGGTTAATTCCCAGTTAAATTAATTAATGTCCGGATTGTCACGGATTACAATTATTATAAGTGTACCGCGCCTGCGAGACACAGAAACTTCTTTTCCACAATTCGTTCAAGATGGCGAATGCGCGACTTTCGGCTCTTCTTCCGCGATCAATACAATTACGTCATGCAACCAAAGAGGAGCCGTTTGCACAGACGCGCCACTCGTCTAGGTTTTCTTGTCACTCTCTTTTGTAATAAATTTCACAATTAAGTTTTTTCTCACTTATTATATAGAATATAATTTTATATTCAATTTAAATAATATTAAATACGCTTTTTACAAGTTAAACCTGTGCCACAATATTCGATATCTTTTTTTACTTAACCGTTACTTGTAACAAGAAATGAGCGGAAGATTCAGCAGAAATAAGTGGCGCTGCTACGATTCCTTACCGTTTTGAACCAAAGTCAAATTGGTTACAAATATTTGAATATCTTTTATAAAATATTTTATATTCTTTATAAATGATTCAAATATATTTCTTTATTTTAGATATATGTTTTTAAATTTTTGTTATTTTCTCTGTAATTTATTTAAATTAATATATCAATTTAAATTTAATTTCATTTATAAATATATTCATACATTTGATTTCGTTGGTAATTCTATAAATTTTCAATATGGTAGTCTTAAGTTTGCATATATACATATGTATATTTTCTTTTTTTATATAAAAGAATCTATCTTATTCTCTAAATTAAATTAATGAATAATTACATTGAAAATGGTATGAATGTTATTTTTTTATTGTTAATTTGAATTAGCTTTCATAATTATTTTATATATATATATATATTATATATATATATATAATTATATATATAATATACATATACATATGTTATAATCAATTTTTATTTGCAGAGCGTAACATTACATACTGACATTGGAGATATAAAAATTGAATTATTTTGTGAGCTGTGTCCAAAAACGTGTGAGGTATGATTTTTCTCTTGTTTTGTAACAATCTTCTAAGAATTATTTATATTGAAATAATTTTACAGAATTTTCTTGCCTTGTGTGCTAGCAATTATTATGACAATTGCTTATTTCATAGAAATATAAAAGGATTTATTGTGCAAACTGGAGATCCTACACATACTGGTAAAGGTGGAACATCAATATGGAATCGTCCATTTGAAGATGAATTTAAAGAAGAATTAAGACATAATGCGAGAGGATTTGTTTCTATGGCCAATAATGGTCCAAATACAAATGGAAGTCAGTTTTTTATAACATATGGGCCTCAACCACATTTAGATTTAAAATATACTTTATTTGGAAAGTAATTATATTTATTTTTAAATTTATATTAATCTTAAAGTTATCTATTACATTTATGTATTTTATATGATTTAGTTATCAAATTAGTTGTTATTTTTTAGGATAATAGATGGTTTAGAAACTCTTGAACAACTAGAAAAATTGCCAGTAAATCCAAAAAATTACAGACCTCTTACAGAGACTCGAATAAACAATATAACTATACATGCTAATCCTTTAGCAGGATAAATGTAAATATGTTAAAAATTAAATTTTATAATTAATGATTATATTTATTTTAATTTTATAAATAATCTTTTAATAGAATCAAATATATTTTAAAAGATTCAATGTATATTGTTTTTTCATAATTTCAATCTCATGTCATCATCTCATCTCAATTACTATTTTAAAAATATTCCTTTATTATATTTTCTTTTTCTGAATGTTTGATGTATCTAAAATTAATTAATATTAATTATAATTTTTTAATATATTAATATTATTTTATTTATCCATAATATTTTTATATCTATATTCTAATCTGCATAAATAATTAACAAGACATTTATTTTTATAAATAATTTCCAATGGAATGAAACTATCCTAAAATATGCTATCAGTATCATTTTATTGATAATAAAAATATAAAAATTATATTATAACCATATTTTAGAATATATACCAATTTTTTATATAATTATGCAGCAATTTCTTTTTTATATATCAATTTTTTTTTGAAAGATATAATTATTATTAATATTAATAATATATATTTAGAAAATAAAAATTATTTTAAGTATTTTTCTCCTATTATATTACCATATTTTTTTCATTGAGGCTATAATATTAATGCTTGATATCCATTTTTCATTTTATATAATTCATTGCAATTTGTTAAAATTTTATAAATCAGCTGGCAAGATTATTTTAGAATATGTAATTCAAAACTAAGTTTAATTAATGTATAATTTTGTTTTTAATTTTTATTATTTTAATTTGTAGTTAAATGATTTGAAAGATTCATTTGATATTTTATCTTCAATTAACATTTCTATATTTTTGCTATAAGTTAATGTATTAATATCTAGGCATTAATAGTCTAAATATAATATATTTATCATCTATTTTTCCTTGCATGGATAAAATACTGTATTTAGTAACATCATGCGTAGATATATTAAAGTCTTTTTCTATTTTATTATTTTTTATCATATGAACCTAAGTATAATAAACTGACATTTGAGATTATATATATATTAATAACAAAAATAAAAAAATTTATATTTCATAATTTGCAGTAGTGATGTTACAACTAAATACAAAAGAATGCTAATATAATGCTAAATATAAAATATTTTTTCTATAATTAGGAGAATTTATAATTCCATCCAATCTATTGTCACAATGCAATCTGCTTTTATTCTTCCAGCATAATTTAATACATGCATATAAATTATTTTATTAAAGTTTATATTTACTTTATATTTACTTAATAAATAATCTGCTGCTTTTTGAGCATCACGTTCACCAGAAGATAAAATTTTCTAAGATAAGTAAAGCAACATGCTCAATAAAGCAATATTTTTATAAGAGCTTTTTCTTGAATTTAATAAAAAATCATTTGATAATTTTTTTTCTTTTTTTTTCTTTTCTTGCTATATTTATTTACTATTTCATTATATAAAAAATGAAAGATATATTCTTTCTTCAATATTGTATGATATTTATTATTCTGATTTTTTATTAAGCCACGATATTCATCATAATTACATGATACAATTTTTATTTTGTTAGTTGAAGAAAACTATCCAGAATGTTTTCAACTTTGACATTTCTCCATCACATTTTTTTCAATAAATAACTGCAATAAATAAATTATATACAATAATTTATTCTTATCTATCACATATTCATCAATTTAATAAAACTAAATTGCATCATAGAAAGGATCCATTTTTAAATTTTTTCCACTTAATAATTCATTAATATATGGGAATATAATATTATAATTTTTTGTATAGACTTCATGAAATCTTTTAGTTACCCAAATCAAATTATTTCTTTGTTCTGATAAAAATTTATGAATCAATAAATAAATATAAAATTTAAAATATTATCAATAAAATAATATTAAAAGAAAACGATAAATTCCATTTTTTGATATCATAATTGAATACATATTTGGCCATTAATTATTTAATGTGCAATTTGTTCTCCCAACATCATTCTAGCATTATAAGTACAAAAATAAAAAAATTCAAAACAATGAGAATTTTCATCTTTTGAATTCAATAGAATCAAAATTAGAAAATGAAAAATAAAAAATATATAATATTGATCAGGACTAAAATTTTTTGATCTACATATTGTAATTTTTATTCCAATTGTTGATAATTTAGGAAATAATTGAATCATTAATTATATATATATTATATATATATATATTGAAGATATTCCAATTTAATTCATAAATATTCAAACCTTTTATGTAAGTAAAGTACATTAATAAATTGTCTTACATTACATATATTAATAAAATTGTCTTTCTGATTAAATTATAATTAAGACATTATATTAAAACACTGTAACTATAATTAATTATTAGATTTATTAGATTTACAGATTGCAATACAATAAGATTCTATTCATAATTACCTATTTCCATTAAGTTTTTCTGAATTCAAAAATATAAACTTATATCAAGATCTTTATTTTATTAATATTTGGAAGATTTTGCAATTTTTTTATAGGTTTTGTAATAATATAATTGATATTAGATATATGTTAATATTAATCATTTTTGTTATATTTTTGAACCAAACTCTAACAACATTAAGAACAATATTTGTTTTTACATTGTCTTTATACCACAAACTTTTTACTATTCGTAATAGTTTCCATTGTGATTATCTTCAAAACTGAACAATCTTCAATAATTTAAATAATTTTAATTATTTTATATATTTTTTTTATTGATTATTATTTTCATTTAAAAGAAAAAAATATATATTAAATAATTTTTATTTGATAATCATTATTTTTTGTTAATTTTATCAAAATATTTATTAATAAAGTTGAATCAATAATTATCATCTTTTGGTAAGTAAATTGCTTCTTAAATATTCTTTTCATTTAAAGGAAATAATTTTTTTGCTTCTTGGCCAGAAATTAAATTGATTTGAATACCGAAAGCTTTAACCAGTAACTAGTTTTTTAAGTTCATTTAATCATTCCTAATATATATATATATACACACACATATATATATACACACATATATCGAATACTTATAATAATGAAAATATACAATTGAATAATTAATATATCAGATAAAAATCGGAATTCAAACTTATTACTTATGAACGAATTCAGAATTAGAAGTTTTTTTTGTATATTGCCGAATATAATAAAAAATAATAAGAATATAAAAAGAAATAAAAATACTAATTAATTTCAAAATATTAAAAGGAATTTTCCATATTTATTGCATTTATTTTTTGCGTTTATTTATCTATTAATTAATATTTATGCATATATTCTATATTTGTCTCGTGTTGATATTTAATTATTACAGTAATAATAATGAAATTACGGAATTTATATTAATAATTTTATTATTATTATATTAATAATTTAGTAATTTTTTATGGAATAAAAAAACAATGAAAATAAAATATTGATAATTTTAAATATATATATATTTATTAAATTATATAATTAAATATATATATTTATTATAAATATATATAAATATATATTATATCTATTATAAAAGTTATATATACTACATTCAATGTACATAGTAGTTAAAAAAAATAAAAAAGATAAAAAACTGAAATAATAAATATCATTCTAAAAATCCGTGCTTATAAATATGTTCAATAATAAAAAAATTCTTAAATAGTTTCATCTTAATGATAATAATTGAAAATTATGGCTTAGATAATTTAGTTTCATTAAATTTTCAAAATATTAATTTCACTTTAAAAAAATTTAAAATAACAATAATAATGATTATGAAGAAAAAAAAATGCAATAAGAATAATGAAAATAAAAAATAATAAGAAAAATAAAAAATAGATAATATAATAAATATAAAAACGAATATTTACATTAGAAGATGCAATATAAAAATCATTATTTATCCATCTTGGATTTATATTTTTTCAAAGATATATTATAGATATGTTTTATAATATTTAATAATTTTATTTCAACATTATTTGGATTATTCTATATAAGACCAATGTGTCATGATACAGATATTAATTTCGATTTGTTTAACAGAATAGTAATTAATATCATATTTTCCTAGATGATAAAAAGCATTACAACCTGCATTATTTTTATCTGAAAATAATATTTAAATTATTTTCTATATTATGTCCAAAATATTAAATTTTAAATTATTTAATTTTATTATTTACATTTGGTAATTTTGTTACAGATAATAAATTCAATGTTTTTAATCTCGTATAATTAATATGTAACTGAAAATTTAAAAGCTCTAACATAAATTAAAAAACACACACTTATTGTTAGAAATATCTTGTGTTTTATTAAACAAAACATATTTTTAATGAGAAAAAATAATAAATTTATATAATATTTCAATGTTATACTTCGTATTGTAACTGCTATAGTATATTTTTTATCGTTTTAATGATCATGTTTATAAATTCATATTATTAATTATTCATTAATCTTTTATAATAATGATTTGTTTGTATTGATGCGCAATTATATAAAAAGAATTCAAGAAGTAATATTTTTTTTAAATTCATATAAAAACGCAAAATATTTTTATTAATTTATATTTTTATTTTACAAGAAGTATAATCATAGAAAAAAATTATTTTATTTTTCTCATATATTTTATGAATACAATAAAAATTATTTATGATTAGTTTTTTGTTTTGCGAAAAAACAAAAATTAATTTTTTTAATTTATATATCAATCATGATGTTAAATTTAATAAAATTTTACATATATAAAATGAAATTGTATATCTAATATACGAGAATATACAGATAATTATATCAAATATAAAAACAATATACATAGCTTTCTAATTATACAGATATTAATATATAAATATAAAATAAATAATAATATTGCATAGTACGCACAAATAACATGTACGAATAATACACTAGAGCATTCTTTGATAATAATAGTTTTTAATAATACTTTAGAATGTCAGAATATTTTCGATAGTAAGCAATATAACTTTTATAATACAACTTGAATTATTCATGCGCGCATGTGTAAAAAAAAGATAAAAGAAAAAAATATACTTCTTAAACTTAACAGATTAAATATTTTATCTTACTAAATATCTTGTTTGAAACTAAATTTAA